TCGCTGACCTCGCACAGTCTAGACTCGCTGAAAAGCCAGCACAGGGGGCGGCCAGGCAGTCAACGTGAAAGCGTACACGACGGCAAATTCCTGCGCAAAACGCAGTCGCGAAAAATCGACGAAACGGATCGCCGGTCCGTACGGGAAAATTAGGACGACCCGAAGTGTCCGACCCGGCGGAAGACACCCTCCGCATTTTTCCACGGACGTGGAGCGATTTTGGCGCCGCGTGAGCCCGCGGTCTCGGATCCTTTCAGGAGCAAACATCGTCTCGGGAGCGAGTAAACTTCTCTCTTATATATATAGATTCTTAATGAACTTAACTCGTATGTAATACTATTTCTCAATGACGCACTTCTGATCCAGATTTATATTTTAATGTACATGTATCTGGTGATTTTAATGTATTTTAATCAACACTAGCTTTTATACCCAGTTTATTGTTTTACTGTACAGTGCATTTGATTATGTTTACATAAAATTTGCTCTTTATAAATACTATTATACGTGTAATGGTACCATTAAGGAGACACGTTATCGTAATTTCTTCGTAAGATGGGAGACATCGGTTATTAGGGAGACATTTTCATGTCTCCCTAATGTCACAGCCCCCTTTAGCGGCACAATTTTATCGCAATTTTGTCGCAATTAGATTATATTTGTTGCTCGTGGTCTAATTAGTAAACATACCGAAATTCGTGGAAAAAGGACAAGGGAACATTGGGTTAGGGCACATTTAAGTTTAAAAAATTGTGTGCACCTCTATGGGGATGTCTCCCAAATGTCCAATCCAGGGTAGTTATTATTATTATTATTATTAACACCACTCAAAATCCAAAGAAGAATGTTCAAAACCTAACCTGTTGAACTTGCAGCTCAGTGCATTTTACACTTTACGAAATAACAGTGAAAACCACGCACAACCTTTTGATCACAAAAAATTGATCGTTGGTAATCACCTACATATCTTGATATCTTCTAATTGACAGCAAGCCAGATGGAATCATTTCACAGGGGGTTTAGTATCTGTACAATCTGTAATCCAAGCAAGCTTTTGGATAATTTGGTAGGTTACTTTAGGATAAATGCAGATGATCCTTTATGCCTTAAATATAGGACCCTAGGGGAAGGGAGGATTTGGCCACTCAGGGATGCAAGCTAATAAACTTCAAAGAACCACGTTGGAATTATACTTTTTTCTGCCAGTTAACTGCTGATGACAGGTTTCTAAATGCCATGGCAATTCCTCTGAAGGATTCATACAAATAAACTTTACTCCATTCATTTTTCAACTCTTTTTCAATATTCTTTTTAAATCAAATCCAAATGTGTCAGTTTTATCAATTGAAACTAAGAAGTTCTGGTTTAACCTTGCAATGTAATTGGTAACTTCAATTGCTAAATTGGAACTAAAAAAACAAGTTGGGTCTCATTTTCCCATTATTCCTGGCACCCTTTTATGAAAACACCCTCCGCCCAAATAATCCCAAAACCATTCAAAAAAGTCTTTTGGCCCTCACATATTGCCCTCAAAACCCTTGTCTGGAACCTGTTTCTATCAAACTCCCTTTCCCTATACCAATTCATGCCCCCCCAAAAAAACCCTTCTCTCTTGCCAATTTTATGCATTTTGGAAACTTCTACCTAAATATATATATATCACAAAACTATTCCAAAAATTCTTTGAGCCCACAAATATTGGAAACCTGCCCAAAAATCTTTCACCCCAAAACATTTGTCTGGAGCCTTGCCAGTTCTGAGCCAAACTGTGAATCAAGCATGAACAACACTTTGAGTGCTAAAAGACAGTTCAATTTCACTGCAGGAATGTTGACATGTAGCTGCTGACAAATATTCCCAATTTCCATTCCCATCTGAACTACTTGTAAGGCTTACCAGGAGGGGCTATTGATGTTTTCTCGGAAACAGAGACCAGACCTGCCTGCCAACCATGCAATGTTTGGCAGGCAATTTCACCCAGACCGCTCTGTCAATTGACAATAACAGATGATGTTGTGTGAGCACTGCCAACTCTCTTAATATAAGCTTCTAAGAACCCTACTTTAAATATTTGTGGTCACTTTTCTGAATTTGTCATTCATATCTGTAACAGACAGCTTTGTGTGTGAACCTGTCATTGTTTTTGAATAATCGGAGACATTTTCACCAATACTATTGGCTTGGTCAAGTCGGTTGTTATTTTTTTTTTTGGGGGGGGGGGCAGTCTCAGTATCAAACATTTGTCGTGTGCAGAGCTGGGCAAAAGAAGAACGTCTGATATAGCCTGCAAATTTTATGCGACCCCGTGGGCAAGCCAATCGTAAACTTAAGCTGTTGATTGGTCAATTTGGCTACCATGTTTTTGTAATACAATGGATTACGGAAGACCTGATAGAAGGTGCCTGCTAAATGGTCAGAATCTCAAGGTCAAGATGCAGGTGCATAATTAATCAACAAATCTGTGCAAGGGGATATTCCATAGAGGTGGGGGGGGGGGGCAGCAGTGAAGTTCTTTTCAAACATCCCATTGTTGTTGTTTATGAAAAACTCCAATGTCTTTTGTAATTAGAACTGCATACTTTGTTTTGGCATAAAATTAAAGCAAATGAAAAAAGACGAATGAAAGTGTGCAACAGATTTTTCTACTGTTCACAAATTTAAATTTGTATTTGCCAAGCTTTTGTCTTCACTTTTTAACACACAGGATTTGCACTGGAAATCAAGATATAAAGGAGTTGTCAACAAGGTGTCCAAAAATGCTGCAAATTAAACAAAGAGTTTGTCCATAAGACATTTGCATTTACAATAGTCCCTGCAGCCTAACTCTGGCTAAAACTCTGGCCAAAACTCTGGCCAGAATATACATTTAACTGACAAAGAGAATTCCTTCACTAATGAATTTACATGACAGGATATCTTACAGACATTGCTGAAAGTGAAAACTCAAAGTGTATCCAAGAAAAAGTAACAAGAAGCATGAACAAAAAAACCAGCTCAATTTAAGGAAATTTGAAATTTTTCTTAAGAAAATGTAATAAGTTTAGCCAACTTTTTAAGCTGAATATCCTTCTCTCTGTAATAAATCGATCCCTTTTCTCACAACTACATGTAGTTCAGCCTTACTCCAGCCACCCTACCCCTTCTCAATAGTTTAAGGCTGCACTGCAAAAGCTTTTATTTGATGTAAAGTTACAGACTCATTCAAGACAGCGTAGGGCCATCTCAAGTCGTCATTATGCGGACGGTGAAAGCAATTTCTGACAAAAGAAGAAAACCGCAGACTGGCAAACGCCCACCAACATCGCCAGACAACTGCCTCATGTCTGGCCCATGGTTAACCAACATTCTGCCCCCCAAAAGGAATATAAGAAAACTGCAAGATGGAACAAAGACTTTAAAGGGGGTCAGGTACTCACCACAATTGACAAGACCAGGGGCGGGGCATACAAGGATTTTGGAAGGAGGCAGACAGCCCGATAGATATTTATCAAAAGTCATCATTGTTTTTGTTTTTTTTTCCCAGGGAAGTAGAACCAGGGTGCGTGTGACCTTTTAAGCTTTTCCCACGTCTACGTTTCAGGTGGCTTCAAATAGATGCATAAATTGACATTTCCAAGCTATCTCGAGGCCCAAGTCATAATTTCAGAATTTTAAGAGCCTGAAAAGTGTTTCTTGTAGTGCCTGATTCAAAAACATGTAGGCACTGCCAACATAAATTTAGAGCTAAAATGCATTTGTTTAGTATCAAAGAAATTTCTTGCTGTTGTAAATTGACTTTTTCACTCTTCAATTAAGTTGAAGAATGCCAATTAAAAAACAAATTCTGTATCTTTCATTGCATCAAGGCAAAATCCACAAATGTGGTCCCAAATGAAAATCAGACTCCAACGAAAATCTGACTCCTTCACCCTTTTATTGGTTAAACCCTCTCACGTGACCGGACACCTCCTAATTATCTTCGTCTAGGCATGCGCAATACTACCAATGAGTTCGTATTTCATAGAAACCTAAATTCACACTACACCGGCATAACTTTGAAATAAAACAAAGAATGGCTTAGTTATCCAGATTTAAGTTGAATCCCTCTAGCAGTCTTGAAGGAGACGGGGGACGGCAGTAAAATATCCAAACAAGCTTTGCATCGAGAAATATGAAGAAGCAGTCTCACAGGTATCTAGGAAAATATATCTACTGAGCTAAAACTGTGACAGGTTAGTTTTTTTTTAATAACCTGCTTGAGATTTATTGTATTTTTGTTCCTTGAATCGGCAAGAACTATTTATTTGTAGAAAATAGTGTCCATGGGCATCAACCGGTGGGGAACAGGGGGAGGGGGGGGAGAGTCCCCCCACTTTTTAAAGTTGGGGGGGGGGGATATCATATCGTTTTCACTTTTTCACTTTTTTCGTCCCCGAAATAAAAAATGGTAGCCTCTATTTGATTATTTGATCAAGGTATGTCCCCCCCCCACTTTTCAGAAGTGATTGACGCCCTTGATAGTGTCCATTACCTTTACACATGTATATTCAAATCTTACCCAAGTGAAATCCAAAACGAATCACATGTTGAAACAAAGCATGTTATTCTGGACAAATTCTTACAAAACCGTTGTTTTGGAGTTTTGCTTTGGTGAGCGAGCCATTAGTGAATAATTTCTTGCCCTGAGGCAATGCATGACATTTCATGTTGAATTACCAAAGGTGCACCTGGCACCTAGACTGGAAACCTGGCCTCATGAATGAGGTCAAGCCTCATACAATCTATGATTTCATTGGTTGCTATGCGGCATGACCAGTCCTTCCCTGAATTCTGATTGGCCGACTTTACAAGTATGCGCAGACAAGGCTTTTGTGCCCATGCGTGCATGCATAAATATGTAAATTAACTTGACCTCAGAGGTCAGAGGTCCAATAAGGCAAGAAGCTGAATTAAAGCAATAACTGATCTCAGACTCAATATTCAAGTTTTGAGATATTTCCCGGACTGGGAGCAAGACTCACCTGAGCCCGTTGCTCCTTTTGTCTCCTGTCCTTGTGTTGAGGCTTGCGGCTGTCCTTTTGTCTGGGGGTCCGAGTGACGGCGATTGGCTGAAGAGAAGAGGCCTCGCCTTGCTCCGATGACCTGAGCAATGGGGGCCACAGCCCTGAGGGAGGGGGTGGGGGATAGAAAGAGAAGATTATATGAAATCATCATTATCGGTACTTTGCTTCTGATGGGCTTTTTTTGTTATTTCTCTGCAATCCTTTGGTTTCATCTTACCGTTTATTCCGCTATTGGAATAAGAAGACAGCACTACGAGAATTTTATATAACCTTCCAAATAATGACCAGCTTGTGAAAAGCCATTTGTCTGCAACTTTGTCCAAGTAATCTTAGGCTGCATCTAAACCCTTGGTCTAATTAAGACAGTCTCTTTTTTGTTTGCTAATTGACAGATCCTCCCTGATTCTACCGGTACTTGATTAGCCCCACTTCGCTCTCCACCCCCCCACCCCCCCATGTCTGCAAAATCTAAGGAACTTTATAAAAACATACATGTATGGAACTTGAATAGCAAGCCTGTTAAAGTGGTGGAGAATACCTTAGAAGGAAAAACAAAATCCAACAGAAAAGTTGTTGGGTCAGGATACAGCAGGTATAGGATTAAAAGATCAGTGTAGTTATTTAATCAAGTGAAGAATATTGAAAATGCTCAATGGATGCTCCAATTACAGATTTTCATTGGTCATTATTAAATTCCAATTGTCATTATTTTAGTCGTCTTTTTTTTTTTTTGAAATCTTTAATCTGCAAATATTTCTTCCAAGTTCCACCACCACCAACACAATAAACCTGACAAAAAATCCTTATATAAACGGCACTATAGGCCTTATTCATGGGTCGGCCATATTAAATTGAAAGTAAGGCAAAATCTTCATTTTTGGAACTTGATAACAAATGAACTAAAGTTCATTACAAATTAATACCGGTCTGCCCTGATGAATATTTTAAACATATTCATAATGCTTTAAGTCACATTTAAAAGAAAATTGAAAGCGATGCTTGAAAAGCATAAATATAGTCTGGCATCATCGCATTCAACAGTTTACAATCTACAAAATACATTCAGGGAACACAATCAAATTTGGCTTCCTTGTGAATAAGATCTATTGTGAAAATATGCCACAAATTATTTCAGAACAAAAAATGAATCTATTCTAATTGGACCCTGTGACAGCTTGCTGAACATAAGCAGCTTTGCCTGTACAGCAAGGTCACTTATGGGCTATATTTATCAGACTGCAAACAGTATTATAACAAAGCTGGGCAACCTCAGCTACCCAAGTTTTCCTGGAAAAACCTTGTCCAAATAAATGAATAATACAAGGTCAGTGGATGGCTGTGTGAATCACATGTAAACCAAACCGCCACGATATAGGCCGATTCAGGCCGCCTCTGCGCATTATAGCCACAATAGGCCAGATTGTATCCGGTGAGCCACCAGTTATTAATGGTTTCCATATGGAAAATGGGACTAAGAGGTGACCTTGTCTGGGGAATATGAGGGGGGGGGGGGGGGGGTCGGTGGATATTAGGGAAAGGTGTCTGAGTATGATGGGTGTCAATATGATACGTCTGGCTGGCTGGAAATCTTCCATGAACAGCTCCAAACCAAAAATAGGGAGGTTAATGCTTTACTCAGTTAATAATCGGATCTCGATGTACATGTACATTGCATCCGTAAAGATCGTTCCTGTGCTATTTTCAATCTCACCTCAAGCAGTAGATTTCTGTTTTCAATTGCTACTTTCCTAGAAAAATAACAATGATTCACTTTTGAATAAGACATTGAACAAAAAATCCACCGATGTTTAGTTACTGAATTAGTTTTTCGCAAAATTTGAATTAGTGGCTACCAGGCACTAACTCGGCTCTCACAGGGCACTATTTGCACACAAAATGACAGTCCTTTCTCAGAGGGTTGCAGACACCCTAAATTGGAATAAAGTAGTTTTTTCTGTAAAACAAAACATGCAAATTTAAATTTCATGACGATAAAAAAAATTCAGTTTTGAAGAGCATGGGGTAATCTTTAATTCATGCATGCAACTCCAACAACAAAGCAGGAAATTCCAAGCAACACATGTACACGATTTTTTTACAGTGTTTTTCAATGTTTTATGGCATAAATGTGAAGTAACAATGAGGAAATACGATGATCCAAGGAAAAGTTGCATGTCGGGTGATTTCTACTTTTGCCTACCATTTAATATATGTTGCACTGAATTAAATTTAATTGGAAATATAAAAACATGGTTCAAAATCTCATAAACCACCCCCCCCAAAAAAAATATAAAAACATGAAAGTACCCCCCCCCCCTCGTCCTAGAGGCTAAAATATAGTTGAAGAATTAATCAACCAATTCCTATTTTTTGCAAAGAAGGCAGCTCATTTCGATAATGATAATAAATAACAAATTCTTTCATCTATGTTCGGACAAGGTTCTAGCACAGCTTTGGAATTTTCTCCCCAAGATGGGCAGCCAGTAAGTAGTTATTTTTCAAGAAATTGTCCAAAGAGTGTCATCCCCTCCTGAGCAGTCCATCTCCTGAGATGCTGACTAAAAACCAGATAATCCATCAGCCCCAGGTATCCTCTACGGACGTGGGACATAAAGGATAAATAAATGGAGGGCTTGACATTTGAAGCTTTTTTACAATCCCTCCTGCTCTCTAATATCCTCAGAAAAACTACTCTGGACTTGCTTCGGATCTATTTTGTATCGCTTCGGGGAGCGGGGGACTCTAAACATACTTGTAGCTCGTGGCAGCTTCTTGGAAAAGTTGCTGGAAAAGTTGGTCAATAAAGGCAGAGGCGCATTTGGGGCATTCCTCCGAGGCAGGAAGAGGGAGTGATAATCGAACAGTCCTTTTTTATTCTCCCCTCCTTTGAAGAAAGCAGAGCTTGTACCTCAGGCCCCTCACACAGCCCAGGAGATGGGCTCGTTCAAGTTAGAGAGCACTTTAGAGGTTTGTTCGGATTTTGCCGCTGAATTGATTTTTCCATCAAGTGGAGATCTATTCGGACAAAAACATAACCGTCATTTCAGACTGGGGTTGCAGAGTTGAGCCAAACCAACTGATATTCAGAGAAACCCAGGTTACCGCAAAATAGATTCTGGTTTGAGACGCGAAGGCAAACTTTATGCATTGATTTTCCAAAGAACTGTGCTCCGGAGTCATTTAAGTCAATCCTAACTGTTTCAAATGGGCAATTATAGCGCTGTGCATCGGAACCGGTTACTTGAGTACCTGACCGCTGATGTCAGGAACTGGTTTCAGATTAAGGGATCAGGTACTCGAAGCCAACTATGCAAATTACTTAGTAACTTCTCAGACAATGAAAAAGTAACATTTTGAATAGCATATGTGGGGATATTTTCAAAATGAAAACCAGGCTACATGGAAAACCAAAACAAATTTCATGCTTATGTGCATTTTAATGTGCAACTTTTGTTGCCAAGACTCAAAATACATTTGTCGGTGATGAGGCATTTGTATATTCCTTTGCACACCGATGGCCTTTAATCTAGGGTATACATTCTCTGGGTTTCAGCAATTCACAGAAGTCAAAATTCCACTTCCACATTTTACAGCTTTCCTGAAGATCCTATTTATTTTGTGTCACAAAGTTCCAGCATGGTTCAGGATTAACACTTGACAAGGCCCCCAAAACACCTCTTCAGAAACACATGAGATTTGGAGTATCAGGGAATTTACGATTTTGTGACCTTTGGAACTACTGTACAATAACTAGTCCTAGTGCTTTGCCTAATGAATTATTCAGGCGCTGAGCCTCTAAATTTGGCACTACGCCCAAGTGTTCTCAGAAAACTGCCTGGTCAAGGCAAAAAAATGACACTAAATGCAGCCACAAAGCTATTCAGTAAACACAGTGGACAATGACAGGAGAGCTGTAGCACTGTAATGTCAACATGTTACAGTACAATGCAATAGACTTATTTTGTGGTTGTTAAAAACGTTAGCGACAGACGTGTCTTTGTGTCTTCTGGAAACCCTCTCTGCTATTTTAGAATTCCCATTTAATTCTCTGAATGCCTGGAAAGCATACATCCTCAGCAACTTGGAACTGGAAGCCCTGTTTCAATGTTTAAAGAGAATATGGATGCCCAATTTCCAAATGTGACACTAAAGCCGAAACAGTGACACACACTCAAAATGAAGTGTCACTGTTAAGTTGCCCAGGAATGAAGCAAAAAAGAAAACTGTCTTCAATGCAGACAGACTTGTGACAATGTCTGTATTCTGAAACTTTTACTGAATAAAACTGATATGAAAAATCCAAACTAGTATGGGGTAATTTCCATTGGATTGCTTGCTTGAGTGCTTACTGACCACCTGACGATGATAATGATTGATTGATATATTGATCGACTGACTGTTGACAAATGAACTGACAAATTTTTCAATTAATATATCATCAGTTCATCATATAACTGATTTTACCAGAGTTTTATTTTTTTTTCTCCATTGAAAAACTAGTACAAAAACCCCTATAAATTTTCAAAATTAAAGAAAAATTCATAAAAACCTATAGAATATGCTTCAGGCCATTCATGTGTGACAAGAATTAACAAATGACCAAAAAATAAAAGGAGAAATACAAAATGCAGAAATGATTAAAATGACAGATGTAAGCTGACGATCAAGGCCATATGTTCAAGTTATCCGCAATGATAATTATTTCTGTGAATTACCAGGTACGTGTACTGATGACAAATGGTCACGCAGAGTGCCTTTAATATGCACATGTTCAGAGAATATCTGATTCAGCCGTTTCCATTTAAAATTAAAGAAAAACAAAGACAAAATCATTTGACTGATTAAAACCCTCAGAAACATATAGGTAGTCATCTGTCAGAAAAAGGAAAAACGTGAATTGATCATGAGTTACAAATTACAAAAAAGATGAAAAGTAAACATGAAAAAAAAATAAAATAGAAACGTAATTTCCGAATGAAAATGTGGAAGTTCAAAACTTTAATCAGACTTTACCAATAGACAGCGAAAACAAAACAAAACAGATCCCCCCCCCAAAAAAAAATCTAATTTGGCAAATTGCAAAGCACATGAATGTGAAAGC